GCTCCAGGCCTCACAGAAAGAACATGCCTTCTGACTCCTGGACAGACCTGTCCCTTAACAGGGACGACGCCCCACTGCTGGTGGCAGAGGCACAGGCCCAGGAAAGACGTTCCAAGTCGGCCTGCCCCACGAGGCATTGGCTTATCCAGCGAGGAGCGCAGTGTTCAAGAGAAAACAGGGGAAAACAAAATAGCACATGCGATGAAATGCTTGCAACTACTTAAATGACAATTAATGCCTTAAAACACACACACACACACACACACACACACACAGTCACACACACACACACACACAGTCACACACTCACACACACACACACACACACAGTCCAGGCATTGCAAGTTGCTCTGTGAGCAGGTTTGGATGTGACGGAGTAGGGGAGGGGAGAGAGAAAAAAGTTAATCTGGGAGCAAATGCTTGAGCCCTTAATTAGAGGGGTGTAAGCGGGACAGAGTAAGGATGGCTGGCAACTTGTTAAAACAGAGTTTCCCCAGCTCCAGCGGGAGGAAGGAAGGAAGGAAGGAAGGAAGCAAGAAGGAACATCTTCAAGAATTTTAATGGTTGTAATTAAGTACAGCAACTATGAATTGTTAACGGGCTTAATTTAACCTTACCCAAGGAGGCTCCAAGTTGCTACTTGCTCGGTCCCCTGAACTTGGGTTATTTCTGTGGTCAGAGCAATTGAAACTTTTTCAGGTGCCAGGGCTGCAGCCGTCAGCATTTTCCAGGAGAGTTCCAGGGTTGGCTGGCCTGGTCGCGTGTGATGGTGGGATGGGGAGTGCAGCAGAAAGCTGTGAGGGGCACACTGCCCTTTGCAAGTGCTTGCATGGTACATATGCACGCGCACACACACATACAGACATGCATGAGAAAGAAGAGAGGATCAGCCCACAGGCCGACTTAAGTTCTCTTTCTCTTTCCCCCTGTAGATCTATCTGATTCCACATTGTCTTACACTGAAACGGAGGCCACCAACTCCCTCATCACGGCTCCAGGTGAATTCTCAGGTTGGCATTTCTCTTTTTCCTTGCATGTTGCCGTTGTATTGGACTTTACAGGAGGGGACCGGCGGCAGGGGCTTGACAGAGGTCCTTTTGATGACCGCCCCCCTCCTTTTCTTTTCCCTTGGCCTCCCACCCCTCAAGGAGAAGACTGCCAGTGTCTTCATCACTGGTGTCCTGAGGCTTAGGAACAGTCTGTAGGAATGAGACCTCAGGGTGAGAACTTTGCAGGAGCCTGTTGATCACGTGGTGACCATTTGTCTCGTGTGGAAATGATAAAAACCCAGCAAAACTCTCCATCCCCATTTTTAACAAGGGATCCTCTTCTCCCGGCTACAGAGCGGCGGCGGCAAAATAGATGTGTTTGTTTACATTTATCTTCGTGGGTTTCTCCTTCTGTCCCCGCTCTGGGGAAGGACTGATGTGAAGGGTTAGAAGAGGGGGAGATGGAGTGGGTAGAATGAGTGTGGGGAAGGGGTCTAGCAAGTGAGGAATTTTCCAGAGGCTGGTGGTTTTCATGTCCTTCCCTGAGCAGTGGATGCTGGGCTTAAGCAGAGAGGTCCTCCACCCGCTGCAGTTCGGAGATGGCCATAGGGACCCCCCCCTTACATTCTGAGGAATACCTAAATCACGCTTTCCTTAAGAAATGAGGGGTTGGTGGTGCTTTGGGGGCACTGAGGGCCAGGAGGGACTCAGGTGTCAAGGTCTTTGGGAGCATGGTGGGTGGGGTGCACTGTGGGGACAGCTGGGGCTCGTGGCCTGGTTCCATGTTGCTTGTGGTGACAGCCCCTTGGGCTGGAGGTGCTTCCTGAGCCCTTGTGGCTGGATCTCTGTGAGAAGACCCCTGTCTGCTTCTGAACTGTCCTTCCCCGACCCTACACCCCTGTCATAATGGCAACGATAGTAATTGTAGCCATTTATTGAGTGTTTACTTTGGGCCACATCCTGTACTAGGTAGGGCCCAGGGTCACATCATAGCAGAGCCATTTGCCGCTATGTCACTGTTTCGTCCCCCACTTCTCTGCAAGGGCTGAATGTGCCTCCGATGAACTTATTTTGCGCGGAGTTCTGTCTGTCATTCGTGCTGTCCTTTCCCCGTGACTAAGGGTGTCGCGATGTTGGGGGCTCTCAGCTGTCTGGCCAATTCTTGTGGCCAGAGAGCCCTTCCCCACCCATTCCGTATTCCATCACAGCCACGGGAGATCACAAGAGTATGTCTCTTTTGGAGACAGAGAAACAAGAAGCTGGAGCAGGAAGTGACTTGCCCAGGTCGGGGGCACAGTGGGGCTCACGGTACAGCTGGTACTGGGGTCCAGGTCTTCTTTGTCCCCTTGTGGTCTCTGGTGGCCCCTCTGATTGGGCCACTTTGTTTTCATCTCTGCTTTTTGGTCCTACTTGTTAAAAAAAGTCTCTCCTTGGAAGACCTAGCCAGATGAACACAAGAAGTTAACGTTTTAATCCATTCTTTTTCCCCTGGGCCTATGTGGATGGGAGCCACAAATAATTTTGAAGCAAGAGGCTTTAACGTATTTCTGACTACATGATTCTCTGTCCCTGCCCACCCTCAGAGCGGATTGAATTTAAATGGATTGCACTGGCGTCGGTTGTATGGACAGATGGTAATTTTTCAACGTCCCCTCCGCCTTGTTGTTACTGGTGGGACCCGTGTGCCGAGGTGCCTTACAGATTCATGGTCTCTTCTGATCTGTCACCCCAGGGCTGGCCTGACTTATGGCTCAGGCTGGAAGGAGCAGACCCCAGAGCACTTGCAGGAGGCCCCTCTGGTTCCCAGGAGAGAGCGCCCCCTGGAGGCCGGGAGGTCTCCGCGACCCTGAGGCTGTTGGTTCGGGCTGCCCCTGGGGCCTGGTGGGCCTGTTTGGGATTCCCACCTGGTGATCTCAGTCTGTCTTTGGCATGGGCCGCTGTGGCCCTTTACCGTGGATGGGGACTGTGCAGCTCTCATGAGAAAATCTGGCCTCCAGTGTTTAGAATTCCAAGGGGCTGAAGGAACTGGAGAGGAAGTCTGGGATTTCCTTGTGGGGATTGATTTGTGTGAGCTGCAGGTGGTAGGCGAGTAGAGAATTCCCCCATTATGGTCCTCCAGGCCCCTCCCAAGGATGACGTGTGTCTCCTCCTGCTCTGGGGGGCTCACTGCTCAGCTCTTCCATCTTCCTCGTGCTGTGGGGGAATCTCAGGACCCATGGGTTGGCACTGCCTCCGCCTCCTGGGAGCGCACAGATTTGGGGCTATGGTAGCCGTCCCCCTGGAGGGCAGGCTTGGGGAGGGAGGCCCTACAGGGTGAGAAGAAGGCCTGGAGGGGTCTCAGTGATGATGAAGGCAAGACTCATCCTGCAAAGATGGGCGGCAGGGTGGTGCCTGAGGGCAGGGTGGGACATGAGGTCAGAAAGGTGAGGGGCACAGACAGGTGGACTGTGTTGGGCCAGACCAGGCGTTTGATGCTCAAGGACAGGTGATAAGGATGCTGGTGCTGGTGCTAACATTTATATATTTAACATTTTCCGACATTCACTACTTAGCACTTTGCTAACTTCTCCATCTCACTGACTCCTTACCACAACCCAGTGAGACAGATGTGATTCCCCCTGTTTTGCAGGTGAGGAAACTGAGGCTTGTTGCCCAGCCAGCTGCCCAAATTCCCACACTAACTGGCACTCTTGGGATGGGAGCCTGTGTAGGGTGACTGGCCAGCTCGCCCACCACGTGGGCCCTGTCCAGCGTTCCATAGCGAGGATCCCATCCTCTGCCCTGAGCCACACCTGGCAAGAGGAGAGTTCAGAAGGAACCTCGGGCAGCCTGTCCTGATCACAGGACCAGGGATAGGGCTGGGGCCTGGCAAGAGGCACAGGGCTCTGTGCTCATCTGCCTCCCTTGCAGACACCCAGAGACCACCCCAGGCCCCTCTGTTTCCTTGCATCCCGGGAGCCCGCCATCCCCGAGCGCCTGGCCCCTCTCAGCATCTTGGGACTGGTGTTGCGGGAGCAGGGTGTCCGCAGCCCCTGGATGGAGACCGCCCTCGTTCGTCTCACACAGTGGCAGTCTCAGCACCTGGCTTGAGGCTAGCTATTTTTATCCAGCTCCAAGGTCTCTGCTTCACTTCCCTGTCCTGTTGTTGAGGCCACTTTATGGGGAGTAGGGGGAGTTTTGAGCCACAGCTGGGGGCAGTTGAGGACGCCTCGGTGGGCAGGGTGGGGGGGCAGCAGGAGAGGAGATGGTCTTGTTTCAGCCCTCTGCTGAACGCTTGGCAGAGCCCTCTCATCCGATCTCTGTGTCAGCTCCGCATGTCGCTACGTGATCCCCACTAAACAAACAAGAAAACCAAAGCTCCCGAGGACAAGTGACCTCACCAAGGTCACCCTGTGAGGGGCAAGAACTCAGAGCTTCCATTAAGTAAAGATACTCTTACAACCTGGAGTCTTCAGTGAGACTTGGGAAAACCTGAAAGCCTAGAAGTCCCTTCTGAGGTACCTTGAGATCCTTGACACTCTGGTTTCCTTGCCTTACTGCTGCCCCCTGACTGTCTGAAGCCCTTTCGGTTCATCCTCTTCCTATCTGCAGCATCTCCACCCCTTTCCCATTCCCTTGATTTCAGTTGAGTTTGAGGAGGAAAGCAAGATGAGCTAGTTAAATTCATACTAAGGTGTGAGTGGCTGGTAGGCAACTCTTCTTGGCAATTTAAAGGCAGGATTTCAACAAAATTGCAGGATGAGGGGTCACACGGGCATGGCCATTCTGAGGAGGTCTGGGCTCTCTTGGCTCTAGGCTAGAAGAACAGAAAGAGCGTGACACAAGGGGCTTTATGCCCTGGATGAAGGAAGGATCGGCTAGGCCAGGCTGAGTGCTGGGTGCTGAGTGAGCTCTGGGCCGTTGACCAGGGCCTGAAGTGGTGGGTTGCTTTAGAAGCCAGTCCCGCCTGAATCCAGTGCCGTGGGGCTTCGGCACCGACAGGCTTCTTCAGGAGCCAGTGACTCCTCTCTAATATCCTATTGGGTAACTATTCCAGTGCTTTATTAAGCACCCACTGTATGCAAGGCATGGTATAAGCTGCTTGTCACGGGGACCAGGCTTTTCCTTTGTCTGACTTTGGATATGTGTACCAGCATCTCAGTCCTTGGAGCCTGCTGGTTTCTCTAGAGCTGCATCAGTGAGGGCGAGCCCCGCATTTTGAAGAGAAGGCCCAGGGAAGGAAGAGAGCCACACAGGACTATGTGGAGAACTGGGGGCCTTAGCTGGATGTGGGTGTTTTTCCTCCACCAGCCAGATTGTAAGCTCCTCGAGGGCACAGATCAGTCTCCAGGATTTGTGCATTCTGTAGATTGGCAGAGTTTGGGAATAGAGGCTCAGAGAGGTTTGGTGAGTGGCTGGGGGACACACAGCAAGCAAAAGCAGGTAGAGCCAGGTCACAATCTAGGTGGGTCCACATTGCCCACCCACTTGCCACCTGTCTTCTCATTGGTCCCTGACGAGGTGCCCTTTGGGGCTGGTGCTGTCTGGTGTGCATCGTCAGTGCCCACAGAACCTAGGAGAGCAGTGAGTTAGTACAGCATCTCTTCCTGCTGCTTCCTGATTCCAGGGCGGAAGCAGGCTCTCCTCAGATGCCCTGCTCCTCGTTCTCAAACCAGGGTTCTCACTTAGCTCAGTCTCTGTGAGCTGAGCCTCCGTAGCAAGCTTGGCTGGAAAGCATGGGCTGTGAACCAGTGGACCCTGGGTTCAAGTCCCAGCTCTGCCATTTCGTAGTTGCGAGACTTTGGGGCAGCCACTTAACCACTCTGACCCTCAGTTTAGTCACCTATAAAATGGGGTGGTTGATAACATATCACCTTGTGGTGAGGATGAAATGAGATGATGCCAGGTGAGTCAGCCAAGGCCTGGCACACATGTGGTAGGTGTGGCCATTACGGGTGTGTCAGGCACTGTGCTTGAGCTGGAGGCACAGAGATAAAAATTACATCACCTCTGCCCTCAGGTACTCACTGACAGGTAAAGAC